CTGCACCCCCACCAATTGCCATCCACTTGGGAGCTGGGGAGGGCCCCGCAGCTGCAGGCCTACGGACAGGCGTTCTCTCTCTCCCTCCCTCCCCACAGCGCCCTGCTACAGAGGGCAGCCGTGGGAGACCGGGAAGAGGAAGGGGACGGGACCAGACTGCGGGGAAGGGCGCACAGGGCGCGTGGGGCAGCTGAGGCGAGCGGTGGCTTCCTGACAGATTTGGAGTGGGGTGGGGTGAGGGGGTGGAGGCGACCTGGCAGCAGCGTCCCTCCCGCCTTTGGCCATCTGTCCCTCGGTGAGGCTGGTTCTCCTTCCCTGCCGGCCTCGACTTGTTTGGCTGAGCGCCAAGGTTTTCTGAGGGGTGGGGCTTGCTGCATGTGTCCACACCCTGGGCTCTTTACTGCAGGAGCATCACTCTGGTGAGCTCCTGCAGGAACCGAGCCCTGTTCGTATCAAAGCAACACATTAAAGCAACACATTAATATACAGACCCGCAACGAAAGACCCCGGTTGATGCTCATTTCTTTCAGCTTCATTAGGTCGCAATCGGTCAGGTGTCCATAACAGTGGGAACTTGTCTAGAGGCCATTTGGAATATACCAGAATCAGTGGGATAAATAGTTGGATGAGCTTCAGGGCACCTGACAGATTGCGACCTGATGAAGCTGAGGGAAATGAGCACCAACAGGGGTCCATTGCCGTGGGTATGTATATTAATGTGTTGCTTTAATGGGTTACCTTAATATGAATGTATCATTGTCCACAAAATAAATAATTTTTGTAAGCCATGTATAAACTATTTTATTGGGAGAGTAATTTTTACTGCAGAGTAAAAAAAAATACAGTGTAACAGTCTTTTAACTTTTTTTGGCTACAGTTTACAAATCACTGTATTTCCATTGTTGTTACTTCTCACCTGGAGATTGGCAGCAATGGTTCCCCAGGATAAAATAACTGCTTTATAGGGTGGACTCTATGGCATTCTATTCAGCTGAGGCCTCTCCCCTCTGGCTTCTGTAGATTCCACCACAAAATATCCAGGAATTTCCAAACCTGGAGCTGGCAACCTAAGTCACGACGGGTCCCAATGAGTTCCCCACTCATTGTAGGCCTTGAATGGGCCTCCTGGCTTTGCCTTTTTATTGACAGAACCAAGCTTGGTTGCCTAGCAACAGCCACTGAGGGAAAAGTTTGTCCCAGAGGAGCCAAGCAGGAGAAGCATCTTTGTCAGGAGAGAGAGCCGTTTTGGCAGTTCATTCTGTCAGGGAAGTGGCCACGGCTGGCAGTGGGAGGGGGAGTGGAGTGGACCCAGCCAATGGCACGTGAGCACTCTTGAGTGGGGGCTGATGGGCCAATGGCTGATGGAGTGCACAGCACAGCCAATGGGAGAGCCAGAAACTGCCAATATTTATATATATATAGGATGACTATATCACAGATGTTACAGTATACAATTTGTGTATTTCAGGACAAAATTTCTGTATTCTGCATAAATGTCTGTATTTTAGATCTGGTTTAGATCTATAAAATAGAGATGGTTTCCCTTTCCTGACACCCCCACAGCCTCTGTCCTTTTCCTGATTCCTTCTCTTCTTCCCACCCACCAGCCAACTACCTTTAGCTGCTCCCTTCTTCAGTATTCCCCTCTTCACTCCTCTTGGCAGCCTCTCCCTGGGTGAAGTTTGGCCTAGTTGCATTGTGGCCAATGACACTGGCCCAGCCCAGATGTGTGGTGGCAACTGTACTGGGCTGTGGGGCCACTGTACTGGACCAGGTGTGTGGTGGCTGCCATCACCAGGCTGGGATGGGTAGTGTGACAGCTGAGCCTGTCCCTCATAAGTTCTCCTCTGATGAGTAGAGGATGGGACCCTTTCAAGGACTGTTTTAGCAAAGTCCACCCCTGCTGCCCCAAGGTTTAAAATCAAGGCTTGGAAGGCTCAGCAATATTGTTGTGGTTGCCTAGCAATCTAAAATGGCCACTCTCAATGGGCATTATTTTATTAAAGTTACAAGTATCTTATATATATATAATAGCAACTGTGTTCCCTGGATATCAATATCTGTGAATCAGGGCCAAACTGACACTAAACAGATTTTCCTGCAAACCTACATTGAGGGAGTTAGATCCCCCCCCCCAAATAAAAAGGCATTGCCTGCACATATGCAGACAACACACTTACCTTTAGTCTTCAGAGCTGCTGGGAGTGGACTGGGAGCCACTCCAGGCCTGGAGCAGCTCTGGATGTATCCTGCTGCTGTTGCCAGATCCAGACTCAAAGGTGGGTGGTGGGGCCTGGAGCTGTGCTGGACTCAGTGATGGGGAGGAGGATAGGATTCCTCCCAGTAGTCTTGAGGGCCTCCACTTGTTTCTATTATTTGGGGTAGTTTTAATCTTCCAATATATTTTGCTTTTTAGATTTCAGATTTGTATGCAAACTAAGGACTTCCTTTAGATGTATAGAGAATCCCCCCCCCCCCAATCTGTCCATAGCTCCATTTTGCTGATCCACACTCTTTGGCCAAGTTTGGAATTAGACATATGATAACTGGAGATAGGATGATCTTGTGTGGGGTGACACACACATTTTATAGGTGTTCTGTCTACATCTGCTTATATCCAGGATAGCCTGATCTACAAGCCTAGAGAAGCTCATATGTAATCACCCAGTTTCTGGAAGGCCAGTTCATTAATAATAGCCATTAATGTGACAAATGTGACCTTTAAAGCTCAGAAAGAGAAGCCACCCCTCCAGACAAGGGTATGACCTTTAAAACCAATCTTCCTCTTCCACATCTGTTTCTCTTTCTTGCACCCTGCTTTTCACTCAGTTATACATACAGTTAAGCACAGATTATTAATGCCACCCTGCTTCTCATCCATTTCATTTTCATGCACTTTATATCATTTCTTTCATGAGTGTTCTCTCTTTTTGGACCCCATGGCTCCTCTTTCCCAATATGATGCAGTGGATACAGTGTCAGACTAGGAACTGGCAGCATGAAACTCAGTGGGTGACCTTGAGCCAGTCGGTGTCTTCTGGTCTAATGTGCCTCACATGGTTATTGTGAGGATGAAATTAGAAGAAAAAGAACTTGAACCTGGTATACTGCCCAGAGCTGTTTGTAAAAAGGGTGGATAAGATACAGGTTTCCCACATTTCCTCCTCACCACCCAGTCCCCCATTTATCTCAGCTATCCTTGTACACCTATCTCTGGCACAAAATGTGGACATGTGTAGTTAAGAATATATATACAATACTGCCAATTAGTTTCAATAGTATCTACACTGACCTTCTTTGATGAAAGGCATGCTCTTAATAAACCTGTTCCCATGACCACAAAAATACCTGTGACTACAATTTATTTCCCATATTTCATATCAATGTGAGCTTTTTGATCACCACCTAATTAAAAGTAAACATGAAAATTCCATGTATTTGCTGTTGTATATTACTAATTAACCATATTAACACTCCATGGATTTGGTGAAGCATACAGGCTAAAAATTTGCTATGATCTGGGATATTCCTTCAAATTTTGCCTCTGCTATGAACTCTTTATGTAGTCTTAGACAGGCCACTGTCTCTAAAATCCTCAACTGCAATATGCAGACGGTTAATATTGGCCTACCTTACAAGGCTGTTGAGAGGAGTGGAAATGCTACATAAATGCTAAAAATCAATATTCAATGAAGGCACATGCTAAAATGCCACTCAAATAAATCCCTGCCAAGTGAAATCAATTAACTGTGCCTGAACTGCCCTTTTTGGGGGTTTTCAAACTTTCCTTTGACTCACGAAGTGTGCCCAACCCTATGTAAATAAATAATTAAGTAGTTGAATGAATTCTTAAGCTACATTAACAAGTTCAGTACAATTTACCAGAAAGGTGGACAAACTAGTTTTGTGAGTTGCTACATGTCATTGTTTGGTACTTCATACTGTTAGGAAGAACAAGGTGCCTTTCATTTCTAAGATAAAGTTAAGTTACTTGCAACTTAAAGCACAAAGAATGCATTCTAATTTTTTTTAAAGTTTGATTTGAATACTGAAGACTTGTTGAAATAATGCATTCTCATTTTTTAAATGAGAATTGTAATATCAACTTCTGGCTATCAAATCATAAAAAATACAGGCTGATTATAGATGTTGGTGGACTTGCATGCTTACACATACTATCCCAGTACTAGCCTTTGCAGTTTTCTATAATTTACTGGTTTCCCCCCTGAAAGAGGATTGTGAGCTTCATCACATTGTTCTATGCAATGTCTGGACTGCAAGTACATGACAAGAAATCACATGACATCAAAGTGAAGAGACAAGAAGAGGAGGCCCAGAATCAGGTCCTCACTGGTGACAACGCCAGGAACATGGATCATAGGACAAGAACATTGGGGACTAGGAGATAAGCCAAGCACCGGAAAGTGTACACAGAAAGCAGCAAGCCAAGGATCAAAGCCATAGAGGAATTATTTCCATTAATGAGTGGCCTAACCTCACTGTATGCATACAAGGACAGGCAGGAAGCATGGTGCCCTTTCTGTCTACACAATGACTCCTTCCAGAAGGAAGCAAAAGAAAAGAGGCAGCACTATATGAACTACAATCTTCCTGAGGGTCCCTATGCAAGGGATGACCACTAGTACCGACACCAATAAAAAAAGTATATAAGTACAGAGCTTAAATAAGTAGTCTGAAAGTATGTAAGTGTGCCCAGTATTACTAGGGAAGGGATAGGCAACAGTAGCCCACTAAAGCCTTTTACATGGCACACAAGTAATCAAAACAAGCCTTTGAGTTGTTGTTATCATCTCCCAGACCACTGTATCCTCCCATCAGGTCTGAGGCAAGTTCCTGAGGTGCTGGAGCTCAGTTGTTCCAGTGAAGCAATATTCTAAGTCACAGCCTCTATCCTCCACTGTTGTGGCACATTTAATTTTTTTTTTAAGTCACAAGAATGATCAATTATCTCTTCAAAGCACCTGCAGGCACAGACTTACCATTTTCTGGCTGGTCCTTAATATCAGCATCAGTTGGCTGGCTCGGACTTTCAGACTGACTTGAATCTGAAAAATATAAAAGATGGTCAAAAATGACAGGATTCCACTACGGAAAAGTGGCAGATGTTCTCCAAAATCTGAATTAGCAAATGAAATATATTAGACATTTCTGTACAATTAATAGATGGAAAGTAGGCAGAGTAATCTCTTTGCATGTTTTTATGAATATACTGGAAGTGAAGTAATTGATTTCTGATTTCTCAAACCTTGCTGTATATGAGAAATCGTACACAATCAAAATTTATAATCAAGCAAGATCTTAAAATTGCCCAGACAACCAAGAACATTGGATTTGTAACCTTCCACTGAGTTGGTATGTTTTTACTATTGTAATCATTTTCAATGTGCTAATGACTTCCAGTTGAGAAATTAACCTTTCCATGCTGGTGTGTGTGTGTAACTATTCTTTCTATCAAATTTGGTGTAGTTTGGTGTAGTGGTTAAGTGTGTGGACTCTAATCTGGGAGAACCAGGTTTGATTCCCCACTCCTCCACTTGCAGCTGCTGGATGACCTTGGGCAAACCATAGTTCTGTCAGAGCTGTCCTTGAAATGGCAGTTCTTGAAAGAGCTCTCTCAGCCCCACCTACCTCACAGGGTGTCTGTTGTGGGGAGGGGAAGGGGAAGGAGTTTGTAAGACGCACTGAGACTCCAAGTGAAGGGAGGGATATAAATCCAATCTCCTCCTCCTCCTCCTCCTCCTCCTCCTCCTCCTCCTCCTGTTCTTCTTCTAATTTACCCTACAAAGGCACTCTACAATGGCTTCGGGAACATTACAGAACTATTACAGCAACAGAAACTCAGGAGTAAATCTAAGATTAAGGAGCAACTCCAAGCATAATTTCTTGTAAATAAGTGATGCTACAATCAGAAAGGTTTGCTTCCAAATAGATACAGTTAGGATCAGGGTGTAACTGAATTCAGCAGTACTATGCAAATCAAAAACTTGAAGGCATAATATTATTCTGGAAAGTGACTTCTTTATGAACATTTATATATGAGAATATTAGCACATGCAACCAAGTTAGAAATGAACATTCATGAACCACTAAAAAGCTTTTGGTTTTTAATAACACATATTGGCACATGAACTAGTTTCTGACATAGTGGTGTTTTAATCTATGATGTGTAAATGACATGAGAATTAGCCCAGACCTAAACTGAATTGCTGCAGTGTAATGCCACTGATTCCAAACATTCTTCTAGTCAACAGTAATTTGGAAGAAAAACAAAGCTTAAAAATGAACTTTGAAATTAAAACATACTTTTAAAGTACATTCATTCATTCATTCATTTATGTATTAGATTTATATCCCGCCCTCCCCCGTAGGGCTCAGGGCGGCTTACACAGTAAAAGATCTTACCATAGTAAAACATCAATTTAAATTACATTTAAAATAAGTTTTACAGTTTAAAAACAATAAATACAATACATTAAAGTGCTCAACAATCTCAGAGCCTCGGGAGATGTCGACCGCATCCACTTCCAACACCCTGGTAGGCATTTCGTGTCCTTAATATTGGGTGTCAATTCCGGTGTTTCTTCATTCCATCCTAGGGCCCTTCCCCCCCCCCAATGATGGTAATAACAGGGGGGGTGGCGGCGGCCCCTAATCGAAAGCCTGGTGGAAGATCTCCGTCTTGCAGGCCCTGCGGAACTGTACCAGATCCCGCAGGGCCCTGATCTCCTCCGGGAGCTCGTTCCACCAGGTGGGGGCCGCCACCGAAAAAGCCCTAGCCCTCGTGACGGTCAATTTAGCATCTTTGGGGCCAATTTAGCATCTTTGGGGCCTGGCACAGTCAATATGTGTACACTAATTAATCCAGATATTCAGCAGAGCATCTTACCGAGCCTTCCTCAAACAGTCCAGTCTTATAATATGCATGTAGGGTGTTTGATTCTCAACCTGCCACACAATCTCCCAGCAAGTTATTTTGCTAACTTTACATGTTCTAGTAAATGTTAATGTTGGGGAACATTTAGAAATGTTCCTTCTCATGTGTATATATCTTTTGCTCTTTGATTTGCATGTAGGAAATTGCATGACTGAATCCATGTTTTAAAATCTTCTAGCAGATGGGAACCTACAGTGCTCATGGGATTGTACCATGTCTTGGTACCTCAGAGAAGGTAAAGTCTAAATAAATAAGCATATTTTATTATTGTATACTGTAAAAACCTAGTAGAAGAAGAGAAGAGATTGGATTTATACCCTGCCCTTCACTCAGAGTCTCAGAGCGGCCTACAAACTCCTTTTCCTTCCCCTCCCCACAACAAAAACCCTGTGAGGTAGACGGGACTAAGAGAGCTCTGAGAAAACTGTCTTTGAGGGAACAGCTCTGACGGAACTATGGCTTGCCCAAGGTCATCCAGCAGCAGCAAGTGGAGGAGTGGGGAATCTAACCCGGTTCTCCCAGATTAAAGTCCATGTACTTAACCACTACACCAAACTGGCTCTAACAATGGATAAAGATAATTTAATAAGTACAGGATATTTTAATAATAAACTCTTAACAGTTCTGGGTCAAATACAATAAGCAGAGGGGGGAAATAATGAATTGGATCCAAACTAAATTTTTCACTAACAGAAGGTGCAATTTCTGTCCATTTCCTCTTTCTGCTACAGGCCCCCCCATTGTTTTGCATGTTTCCCTATCTCAAAAGAGCAGTATTTCATGGAAATGTAGTGGGAGAGGTGAGATAGGAAATTTCTGTCCAACTGAAAGAAAATTTATTTTGGATCCACCCCAGTGTTACAGTGGAATTATGACCTCATGAATATTTGCGATCTACACAAATATATATATTAAATAGTTCACATTGATTAAAAATGTATACATATTGGTAGACATAAATATGGTAGATATTGATGAATTTAACAGATCATAATAAATAGTATAGGGTGAATTAAGGGGGGAAAGGAAGATTAGAGATTTTTCTCAATGTAACTGAAGAACTATATATGTGTTTGTAAAGTGCCATCAAGTTGCAGTCAACTTATGTCAACTCCATAGGGTTTTCAAGGCAAGTAGAGATGGTCTGCCATTGCCTTCCTCTGCAAAGTCTTCCTTGGTAGTTTCCCTCCAAAGTACCAACATACCTTAGCTTCCAAGATCTGACAAATATCAGACTATACTATACAATTCCACATCCCAGAAGAATTATATAGTAATTGTAAATTTCCATTATTGGGATTTTTATTTTATAATTTTATGATAAATGAGAATTATAAACATAGTTTTCTAAAAAGAAGTAGTAAAAAAAAAGAGATGTTGGGGTCACAACATCATCTCATACATGAATTTAGGACCTATATTAGCACAGCAAGAATGATGACATTATCTCCCGTGACTGCTGTTATTTTATCTTATTTGGACTTGACATAGAAATGTCTCAGGATTACAGTTATCCCTTTTCATATCTTGGCTTGTTGGGCCTCACTGTTTGGAAAAGGTTTTTTGGGTTTTTTTGTTAAATCCTATTGACCAAGATGCAAAGAACCATGCAACTATTTCTGTGTGCCCAAGAGGGCTATTTGCAAACAGCAGCCTGCCATATTACATGGCAAACCAGTCTGGACACTGTGACGATGTCAAAAGCAGTTTTTCATCGGCATCAAATACTGAAACAAACAAAATTCCAACTAGAAATGCCTAAACTAGCCCTTTAAACCTTGGTGTCTGTAACTCTTGCAAATACATAGCAACAAACTGAGAAAAACACTTCAAAATGTCCTGTAATCTATAAAAAATTAGGATTGATTTACCCAGCAGGAGAATAAGGTAGGAATGAGGTGTCAGAATACTGTGGTGGCAGAATGCCTTTCAAATGGAGGAAATTTGATTTCTAATGTTGCCTTAGACAATGTTATTAATGCTTGTTGTTAATGGTAAATGCCTTTCTTCAAATAAACTTAGTTATTAATTATAGAAATTAACTGTTTAAAGCAAACCTATATTTGAGTTCACCAGAAGAACCACATTGTTCCTTTTTATTATTTTAATGATTTAATGAAAAAAACTTGAGTTGTAAAAAACTTAAATTTTCATTCCCCACTATATATTGATATTGTAGAAAAGCAGAGTTTTATTTTATCACTTAAGATGGAATTGCTTGAGAAATGGAATTCTATAGATTTGTATCTTGCACAGAATTCAGATATTATATATAACAGTTAAAGAAAAAAATTGCACAAACCTGGGCTATTGCCAGGTTTGTATATACACCACATTCCTTGCTCTTACCTCTCCCTTCTCATGCTGAAAACTGTGGTTAAACATTAGCTCATCTTGCCATGATATACAAATATAGGTGTGATGTTAAACCTGTTCATTTTACCCCATCCCCCTAGTTACCAGGATTCTACAGACAGGTGAAACCCTGGTTTAAGATCCTCCTTACTGGAGCAAAAGGAACTAACTCTTGTTAATCCGAGTGCCTGTATTCATATGTCTCAAGCAAGGTGTGTTAACCCAGGGGTGCAAGATGCATGCACAAAACCCCAAACATGCCAGATTCATGTGCATCTTTCCATAATCATATTTAAACATGATTTTAATGCATCCTTACTTGAGAACAACTCCCACGGGATTTTAGTAAGACTGTCCTCTGTTTCAAACCTGCTTATGACTGGGGTGCATGCAGTGCTTACATTTTGGGTGCTATTCTTTCAAGTGGCACTTCATACTTCTGGGGTGGGATATAGATCTTAAAATAATGTGTATATACGAAATGAAAAATTCAGTTACATCTCTTTCCTTTCATCTTCCCATCATCCTTCCATGATTCCATAATATTTACAACTAAAATAATGTATGGGTAAAAAGGAAATGAGTACAAACAGCTCCATTTTCTAGAGACTTGGTATGTGATGCATTAGTCCGCCATGAAATCGGAATCCTGTAGTTTATACTTTACCCTATTTATATATATTAAACAAATCTAAAAATGTAATTTCAAAATAACATAACATGAAGATTCCCCCCCCAAAAAATAATAAGTAGGTG